ACTTCATAATCAACATCAGAGATTTCAATTGTATCTAGTATCTCCTCTTTGTCGAAGACATTATTATTAAAAAGTTCTTTTACCAAGAGAGCACGGCAAGTATTTATACCGCAACCTAAATATAACTATTGTTAAACTAATGCATTTTCTGCGTAAACATTAGCACAACTTCACGAAGACTTTATTCGAGCCAGTATTAACAACAATAAACAACAATCGAATTGTCGCGTAATAAGAGATATGCATAAAAAAACTTGTGAGACTTTGAATGAAAAAAATGATATCATACCACATTACAGATCATTAAGGGGGATACTATCATCGATGGAAAAAAAAGACAGAGATCTATTACATCACTTTTTAAAGGTAAGTTTACCCACATTATACATTGGGCAATAAAGTCCATCAATTGATAGAAAGGTTTAGAGTTGTTGTAAAGTTATGAAATTATCATAATCATTTGATAGAGTGTGAAAAATAATCAAAATTCTAACGAAAAAGGCTTGATATCAACAAGTTCATGTTCAAAAAGTATCACAGAGGGATCAGTAAGCCAAGAATTTCCTGATTATGAAAATGTCTATATACGTATGACAGAAATTGCATTCAATCATGGATTATTTGGTGGAGTGCAAGAGGATTGCGTGTCTTTAATGATTTTTGCACTCGAGGTGAGTTTTTTGATTGTTATAATTCGTAAAAATATCTCAATAAGGTTAATCAAATAGAAAGAATAACGTTTATTTATTTTTTACTTTTGCACAAGTTTTATATGAAAAATATTTTGCACAATTGCATTAATCGAATTCGAGAAAATAATGTATATCATGATGACTATGATGAAAATCACAATATTACATCAATTACGTTAAAAGATCTTGCATTTTCTTTAAGCATTTCACCTTTGGCTGTCTCCCCATTAGTTGTGGAAAAGATCAGTGCAAGGTTAAGACATGACGAGATGAATTTTGATAATAAAACTTAAATGAAATTTTTGTTATAATACCAAATGAGACTACGAGCAGTGTCTGAAATTGGGTTGCGGAGCTTGCGGACCGCAAACGATTTATAAGTTCCCACAACTAAAGTCAGAAATGCATATGCGGCTCCACAAATGAATTTTGTGAATTGCATATAAATATGTTCATATGCGCAGCTAAATTCATAAAATCCGCAAGTTTTTTATTTAGTTGCGGCCCGCAATTAAATTAAAATTTGAATTTCAGACACTGTTTATGAGTAACTAACAATTAATTATTTCTGATGATGGATATTCGTTGATGCTGCATGCCAAACTTTCAGGCTCGGGTCTTGGAGATATTACATGAACTTTTATACCGTTCTTCTCAAGATAGTCTCCAGTAGTTTTTCCAATACATGCGATCTTTACGGTCTGCCATAAGTCCAATTTCATTAAACTTTCCAATGCTACGTCTACACCACTTGGGCTAAAGAAGACAATCCAATCAATTTGTCTATTATTTTTGACAATGTTCACCATTTCTGTGGAAAAGTTTTCGTCAGGTCTTGTTTCATAGACTAATAATTCTTCCAGTTTTATTCCAGCTTCTGATAATCGTGTTGGAAGCTTATCAAGACGTTTATCACCCGTTAGAAATAAGAGGGATAATGCGGTTGGGTTACTCTCACTATGAGATTGGATAATATATTCTGCAAGGGATTCTGAATTACCCGATTTTAGTCCTAATGTATTGAGATTCAGATCATCGGCTGCTTTTGCTGTTGCTTTGCCTACCACAAAAAACGGTAAATTTTTCCATAAATTTTTTTCTTTGATAAAAGAATCTACTTTATTATTATGATGATCAGTTCAATAAATTGTCATGTTTTAAATTGATTTGTAGCAAATGATTTATTACCTTCAGTAACATCGTTGAACGAGTTGTTCCAAGCAAGCTTTAACCCTTTAACAGCTTTTTGGCTAGTTGCTATAATTCCCCAATACTTTTTTTCGGGTCCATTTTTTAATATTTTTGATAATTCTTCTATATTAACAAAAACGTGTGATAACACCGGTAAAAAAATACTGGTATACGAAAGTGTGGCTAATTTAATTTCGTACTCGTCTGAAATTTGTTTTGTACCATCATTTATGTCATAAGTTGTACTTTGGTGAAGTTTAATTGGTTCAGGTGAGGCTTTTTCTTTTAGAAGAAGAACTGTTCCTTTAGACATAAAGACGTGTGAAAACAGAAACGAATTTATGCTCACGTTATATTATTGGAACAGGGGGAACCGTCACATCATTTGTAGATCTGTTACACAATTCATAAAAATTTTTTTTATATTGTTTTAAAGTA